AATTCGTAATTGAAATTTTTTTTAATGTTTTCGTCAACGATGTTGTAATTTATTTTAGAATCTTTATGTTTATTTGCGTTGTTTATATGATTTTATTTACAAATGACTATATTTGTATTTAACATCATATTTTTGATTGATGTTAATTTGAAAGAACTTTACCATCATATTAAATAATAATTAATTAATTTTCATAGTCTGAGTATGATTTTTTGAAAAATTGAAAGTTAAGAAATAACAATTTTTACAAAATGGTATAATCATGTTTTAGAGGATAATTGGTAAATTAAGATTTTTTGAAATATTTTAGCAAGATTATGAGTAATGGTGAATAGCTCCCAAATAGCTCCCAAATGTTTTGGTGATTGTCAGTTTGACATTACTAGATTTATATAATTAACGTTTTATAACGAATTTTATTAAATATATATTTCAAACCAAATAAAATCTCTTTCCAAATGAAATTAATTTCTCTTATTTTTTCAAACAAAACTTTTGAAATTATATTTTTATAATTTATAGTAAATTTTAATTTTAATTTAATTTTAAATAAAGATAACCCGTCCATCGGACGGGTACTATACTAGTATAGATATAAAATCTACATTCGGTCCAATATTCATTTTTTTATCTTCAATCGAATTTTTTAGCTTTTTTAATATTTTAAAATTCTTATCCAATATAATTAAGAGAACACTAATACTCTATTGTTGTATGTGCGACCCGATTATAATTCGAAAGAATACCAATACGTTATCGTATTTTGTTTTTAATGTCTGTATTTCACTATGGTAAAGATTGTACATGATTACAATGCAAATAATTAATCAGAAGCTGGGATACAAAGTAGTGAAAAAGAAACTGATTATCGTTTAATCGGAGATTTGGCCAAAATATTTGTTGCTTTGTCGTTTGCTCTATGTATCTAACAAAATTTGACTGATTCAAATTTTTGTTTCCAATGTGTGGTTTCTTGAAATCTAATTATAATAAGAAAAGTTGTGATTCCTTTTATGTACATAGCATGTCAATGACTTGTTTAGAGTCTCCTTCGAATATTACTCGCTGATGTCCTTGACTCCAAGTGTGCTGCATTGCCATAACCAATACATTATCGTTATATAAGTAAAATAACCTAGAGTTTAGGATTTAAAGTTATAGCGAGTTTGCATCATGATTTGTTAACGAATATTATGAAATGTGAAGCATGTTTTATTTCGTAAGATATTATCCTATTAAAAACTACAATAAAATCTCTACAACTTGATACTCGACAAATTAATAATCTCCATAAATTAATAATTAAATGAAATTATTAATATATATATATATATGTAATATTTTTAGTGAAATATAATTATCATTATGTTAAATATTCTTATATTTACATTAGTTTTTGTTAGCATTCAATTCTAATAGATTTCATGTATCAATAAATTTATAGTGTTTTATTCATTCATGATGATTGTTGTTTTTTGTTGTAATTGATTATAAAAAAAATATTGATTAGAATGGTTAAATTTTATTTTGAGGTATATATATTTTTAAATTTACCAAATTAGGAAAATATTGATAAATTAATGATTTTATAAATTAATAAAATTTAATGATCCTAACATTATTAGTTTATAGAGGTTTTACAGTATTGCTTATGTGAATCAAATCTTTGGGCATCCCAAATATATCGGGTCAACTTTCAAAAAGAAAAATATACAGCAAAAGTTCAACTTATGTTTTCATTTGATTATTGTTTATGATCGTTGACTTCATGCCATTATTACCTGTCTGTAGTCTTACAGAAATATGTTTATCTGTTTTTGTAAGAAAATATATATTATTTATTTTTAATGTATTTACCAAAAAAATCATATATAAACTATATATTTATATATGTTAATCTCCTATAATCATATGATGAGATAAAAAATTATTACGTTCGTTAAGAATTAATTTTTCCTTAATAAACATGACGATGATCACCAATTAGTTAAAACTCTTTGAAACCATATGGTCAACTTCTTTCATTTTCACGTTTTATAGATATATTACGTAGTTAATTAAAGAGAACATCACTTTAAAAAAAATTATATATATATATATATATATAATTGACCAATCAATCGATCAATATTATAGATACGAATGATTTTAGCATGATGATTATCATATTATAACATTTAATTTATTTTAAAGAATAGAAATGGCCAATCAATTGATCAATTTTATAGAAAAGAATGATTTTGGCATGATGATTATCATATTATATTATATTAGCATGTTCGACCTTAATTTATAATCCGTATATAATAAAATATACACCATTAGTACACGAAACTATATGTTACTTAATCAGCAAAATGATCAAAGTAGTATGATCACGTACACTATATCATTACAATATATCATAGAAATGTATTATCCGAAAGAGATTGAGATAAGTCCAAACTAGTAAATCTAGTTTTTGGATTTTGTAAACCCAAAAAAAATCCAAACTAATATATCTGTCCTTCTTGTAACCCTTGTTATATACGGAGTGATTTTATAAGTCCAACAATTTAAGAATACTAATACAACTATCACGTGGAAATGAAGTAATAAAATTTGTCTTCGTCTGAGAGACTAAATGATAATGGTGATATAAGTATGCCCCGTTACAAAGGTATTTGTTGAAGGATAATATTTATGAGACTTTGCACAATTAGTTTCCAAAAATAAGATTAATATATTTGATTATATTTTTAACACTCGTGAAGTCCCGTACATACATTGGTATAAGTTATACTGTATAACTAGGAACTTTGGGAGTTGTCTACTTAATTAGTTTAGAGGATCGACTTCAACCATACCAAATTTTGTTTTATGGATATATAATTTTATACCAGCAACTATAGGTTTTTAATTAAAATTAGAACCATATACTACTAGACATTACCAGCTCATTATAGTGTTCTTTAATGATCAAATCATATCAATAACAAAATTAGTCAACTAATCCCCTAGTAACGACAAATTAGCTATGAAACCTTCACAATTCTCTCCTAGTGAAAACCCTATAAATACACACTAAACACTTAACCTTTCTCTCCACCCATCTCAAACAAGCTTAAACGCACTACTACTTCTTGAGCCTTTTCCACTCCACAAAACAAAATGGCTCCAAGAACCTCCCTTGCACTCTTCCTTTCTCTCAACCTCCTCTTCTTCACTTTCACCTCTGCGACCACAGGTACTTGTCCTAGAGACGCCCTCAAGATCGGTGTTTGCGTCAGTGTGCTCAACATAGTGGACCTAACATTGGGAAACCCACCCGTACAGCCATGCTGCTCTCTCATCCAAGGCTTAGCTGACCTTGAGGCTGCTGTCTGCCTTTGCACTGCTCTCAAGGCTAGCGTTCTTGGAATCAACCTTAACCTTCCCATCAACCTCAGCGTTCTCCTCAATGTTTGCGGTAGAAAAGCTCCAACCAACTTCCAGTGCGCTTAAGTTAAAAATGAAGTTATGGCAAAAAAAAAAAAAAAAAAAAAAAAAAAAAAAATCAATAATCAACAATCAATAATCATATATACAATGTATGAATAATAAATGAATAATCATACAATGTATGAATACTTGAAACCGTTATCTTATCTTCTTGTCTTTATTTTAAGGTGATTTCTTTTTTTCTTTGCATTTGTATTTGTATTTGTCGTGGATTGTTGGAAACTAACGTATGAACGTTCTCATGCAATTACCCAATATTGGGTTTTGTGTGTAGTCGGCAAGTTTTTTCCTCCTTTGCTTCATTGTTCCTCCATCTCTTCTTTGTAATTGTGTCCTTCGACGTTTATTAATAAAAGTATCCATCTTTATGTTTTTTTTGTCTATATTGGTTATCGAGTATTTATGCATGTCTATCTTATAAACCAAGATAAAAAGATAATATTACATACATGATACATATATATACCACAAAAACATGTCTTGGCTAGTATTACCTTAGCTTGTAAGCATTAAGACATGTAACATCCATTGCCTATACCATGCAAGAATGGTGGGGAATTTTTTTTTTTTTTTTCAAACTAGATAAGAATGTGTACAAGATAAATTCTTCAAACAGACAGCACTTGCAAACTTGGGAGATAGTTTAAAATAAAGAACTACTAAATGTATTTTTTTATTTTTTTTATTTTTTTTAACTACTAAATGTATTGTAATGTGTTAGACGTAATATACATAGTAGTCAAAATATATTTTGACATAGAATTTAGAACTTTTTGCCAAATATCAAAGGCTTTAAAAGTAGTAGATAATGTAATTACTAATAAGTTAAAAAATCATAATTAAGTTGGTAATCGATTTTTGGCTTGACTTGGGACGAAAAATGTAATTTTTTCTTAACAAGTCACTGGTATATATTTTTTGAGAACTAAACCTTGAGTTTTACTTATATGAATAGTTAAAAGTCACAATTTTGTATTCACTTTATTACTGTTTATGATCATTGATTTTTTTTCCATTACTAACTGTATTTAGTCTTACAGAAATTAATGTGTTTTTATTCTTTTTTTGTAAGAAAATCTATAATGTAGTAACCGGAAAAATTCAAATGAAAACATATGCATGGTGATATTAAAATCTAGGTTCATTAAGAAATAACTTTGCTTTTTGATAGGATCTTGTAAGAATTAATTTTGCCTTATCAACAAGACGATGATCACTACTACAGTATATATATATATATATATATATATTACTTGCCGTTATTTTATTTTGTAGTATATTTTGTCGTTAATATAATAAAAGGATCTCGCACATACATCTCATTCAACACATATACATGATTTATTTACCAAAAAATAAAATATATACATGAATATTTCGTTATAACAACTCTAACAATGATTATATATTATTCATACTGGACATGCTTTCAAATTTAAATTTTGCGCAAAACTGCAATTGGCCAAAATTTAATCTAGACGAGTTATGGTTTGATTAAGTCCAACCATTTGAGACTACCAAATAGTATTATTACATGGAAATGAATTAATAAACTTTGTCTTCGTCTGACTAAATGATGATTTAAAAATAATGACAAAGGGATTCGTTAAATATATATATCACATGCACAATGCATGGAGGAATAAAAAAACTCATTCCAATTTCGATGTGCTTAATTAACATAAATAGATGTTTAAATGATAAATAGCAGGTTTTAAAAAAACTTGTGATACCTAGATATACATAATGTTTTCTTAGAACTTGGTATTATACTACTAATTAACTTTGATACACTAATTACTAACGTAATAACTAATAACATAACTCTGTACTCCAACTAACCAAGAAATCATAAGATCGATTGGCAGCTGATACAAGTAAATCATAAATGGCTGGCTTGAGCTTAATTAAAAGATGAATGTGATTCATATAATATAAAAATTCGTGAGTTGTCTAGTTAATTAGTTTAGAAGATCGACTTCAACCACCAAATTGTTTTTATAGATATACAAATTAAAACCATATACTCTTAAAGATTACCAGCTAATTTGAACAATGACAATTAAGTGGTTTTTAATAATCAAATCATATCTATAAGAAATAAGCCAACTAATAATTCAAATTATCAATTAAACCTTCACATTTCTCTCCTAATGAAAACCCTATAAATACCCACTAAACACTTAACATTTTTCTCCACACATCTCATACAAACTTAAACGCACTACTACTTCTTGAGCCTCTTCGACCTCACAAACCAATGGCTCCAAGAACTTCCCTTGCACTCTTCCTTTCTCTCAACCTCCTCTTCTTCACTTACACCTCTGCGGCCACCCCGAGCAGACAGACTTGTCCTAGAGATTCCCTACAGCTCGGTGTTTGCGCCAATGTACTCAAGCTAGTGGACCTAACATTGGGAAACCCACCTGTAAAGCCATGCTGCTCTCTCATCCAAGGCTTGGCTGACCTTGAAGCTGCTGTCTGCCTCTGCACTATGCTCAAGGTTAACCTTCTTGGGATCAACCTTAATCTTCCCATCGATCTCAGCGTTCTCCTCAATGTTTGCAGTAGAAAAGCTCCAAAGAACTTCCAGTGCGCGTAAGTTGAATAGTGTTTATGAAGTCTTGGACCTATTTTCTTATCTTCTTGTTTTATGGTAAGGTGATTTCGTTTTGTAATTTTCTTGAATTGTTTAAGTGAACGTACGTTCTCATGCAATAATGGATAATGCATGCATGGGTTTGTGTATACAATACATGTATTTGGCAAGTTTGTACTCCTTTACTTCATTGTTACCCCGTCCCTTCTTTGTAATCTATTTTTCGAATTTGATATAATAAATTCACTTCTTACCATAATTAAATTTTAACATTATAACTTAAAAAGCCCTATTGGAAAAAATAATTAAAATGCCCTATCTGTTCTTCTTACAAAAGATGCTTGGAAGCTCGATGTTTAACTTGTTGAATGTGACCATCCTGTCTCTATATATCTGAAGACCCAATAGAAAAATCAAGACTCTTACTCAATTTTTCTTTTTCCAATATAAGAGATTTTTACCATAAGAAATTTTCAAAATTTTATTTATTTTGGATCCATAGCAAATGCCTAGGTGCAACCTCATTGACGGTTTGGTTGAATCAGATTATGCGGTTTGTCTTTGCACCGTGAGTAAAGCTAAAATTCTAAAACTTGTCGATTGCAGCAGAATGGTTTCCAATGCCCTTAATTTGAAAACGTAAATTTCTAAAACTTGGTTCATAGACTTATTTATAAATATGAAAGTTGTTTTCCCATCAAATATAACCATATATAAGATTGATAAACAGAAACCAATAGCTGGTTAAACCTTAAAAAAACGAGAAATTAACAAGAATTTATTTAGTAAACTATTTTACGAGTGGCCATTTCTCTTTTAATAGTATAGATTTCCAACACACACAAAAAAATGTTCTAACTTTATATCTTGACTTAATTTCACTATAAAATCCCTAATATTAATTTTGTCTCAGTTCGATTGGATCAATTTCAAACCGTGAAAATTCCATGTCTACTCAATCCATTTAATCTCTAGTCGGTTGTCGAAAAAAAATATTATAATCTCTAGTCGGCAAAATTTTGGTTTGATCTCAATTGGATTTCTGATTCAAAATTAATTAACAGTGAGTAAATTAATGGCAATTTCCTTATATATAATGTTAAGTCTCCAGAGTTCAAAAAGAACAATTGGTTTTTTATTTTAACATGGTATCAAAGTCTATATTTGATCTTATATTCTTTTTCATTTTGAAAAATCACATATTCTTTATTTAATGTTTCGCTTTTTTTTTGCTCATTTTAAATTATAACCTAATATAATTAAGAGAACATCAATACTCTATTATTGTATATGCGACCCGATGATAATTCAAAAGAATACCGGTAGTCTATTGTTATATACTGTATATGTGAAGTTATTTAGGATTTATGATTTAAAGTTATAGCGAGTTTGCAATATGATTTGTTAACGAATATTATTAAATGTGAAGCATGTTTTCTTTGGTAACAAATAATATACTATACAAACCTAAGCGTCAGAATTTTGGTATACAATAATATTGGTTATGTGAATCAAATCTTCGGACATCCCAAATATAACGGGTCAACTTTCAAAAAGAAATATATTCAGCAAAAGTTCAACTTGGTTCTCACTTAACCGAATACAAACCTGAAATGCCTAACGAGAGAACAAACTTGAAAGCTGAAACATTAGAGCAAAAATACAAACTTAACGAAGTTTGATAGATCATGTTTAACGAAGTTGTCAAAGCGGTGTATGGTAGGCAAAGCTGTGATGGAAACCCTTTTCAAAAGTCTTTTCACCACTGACTGTAAAGGAAGTCACCATTTGAATATTATTGTTATGATCACTAATGTTATGCCATTATATATTACCTGTAGCTTTATGTATAGTCTTACAAATATGTGATATATAGTATTTATATTTGATGCACTAACCGAAAATTTCAGATATAAACTTCTTTCATTTTTGACGTCTTTTTAGATAGATTATGTAGTTAATAAAAAGAATATAATTGACCAATAAATACATCAATTTTATAGTAAAGAATGATTTTCGCATGATGATTATATATTATTAATTGTAAGCCTTTCCATGGAATTACTAAATTCTCGATATCTCTTATAGTCAGCTAGCTACACGTGAGCCATACACTATTTGCATGTTCGACCATTATTTTATTAATCGGAATATAACAAAAGATGCCATTATTAATTCACGAAACCATATGTTATTTATTCAGAGAAAAAAATATCCAAGTGGTAAGATCTCGCACATACCTGATCATTCAATATAAATCATTGAAATGTATTATCCGAAAGAGAAATAATAACGATGATTTTGTCGTTAAATAACTTAATAAGTAAAAGTCATTTGCTAATAAAAACATTTCACATAAGATTTTTCTATAATTAAAAAAAATTATCAAAAAAAGATGCAACTTCTCCCATCTTGTTTCTAATTCTTTTTATATCTATTTAAAACAAAAACTATACTACAAAAAAAAAAAAAGAAGAAAAAGAAAAGAGAACTCTTAAATTTTCTCACACACTATACTATGATTTTGGGGAGTTTGGAACCATCTAAAGATTTCTTAAACCATTTCACCATTCTCTACAAAAATCCAATTCACGTTGGACTCATATCCATCCTTTGCTCTAACTTTCTCCACATTTCCATCTGATAGAATTCATGAGCTAAGACGATTTGTGAAATGATTTTTTTATTTCTCAATCGTAATAAACATTGCAGTGTGTGTTTATATACAATAAATTAATGTAAATCGGAATCTCATGTCAATTAACTTAACCAGTAATCCAGCTACTCTAATACCATCACTTTTTATTTTTTAAATCTTTCTCAGATCTACTAATTTGAAACTTCATTGAAAAAAACAATTTTTATCAGTTAACTAAAAAAAGGACAATTGGATATATCAATTCTTACCACCGACTAAGTTGTTAATTAAAATAAGAACCATATACTCCTAGAGATTACCAGCTCATTTGAACAATAGAAAATATTTAATGTTCTTTAAACACAAATAGTCAACTAATCCCCTAGTAACGACAAAATATCAATGAAACCTTCACAATACTCTCCTAGTGAAAACCCTATAAATAGACACTAAACACTTTTTGACAAAAAAAAAAAAAAGACACTAAACACTTAACATTTCTCTCCACCCATCTCAAACAAACTTAAACGCACTACTACTTCTTGAGCCTTTTCCACTCCACAAAACAAAATGGCTCCAAGAACCTCCCTTGCACTCTTCCTTTCTCTCAACCTCCTCTTCTTCACTTACACCACTGCGACCACAGGTACTTGTCCTAGAGACGCCCTCCAGATCGGTGTTTGCGTCAGTGTGCTTAACATAGTGGACCTAACAGTGGGAAACCCAGCCGTACAGCCATGCTGCTCTCTCATCCAAGGCTTAGCTGACCTTGAGGCTGCTGTCTGCCTTTGCACTGCTCTCAAGACTAGCATTCTTGGAACCAACGTCCTTAACCTTCCCATCAATCTCAGCGTTCTCCTCAATGTTTGCGGTAGGAAAGCTCCAACGAACTTCCAGTGCGCTTAAGTTCAAAACAAACTTATGGCATACCTAGAAAACAAATAAATCAGTAATCATATATACAGTGTATGAATAATAAAAAATAATCATACAGTGTATGATTACTTGAAACCGTTATCTTATCTTGTTGTCTTCGTTTTAAGGTGATTTCATCTCTTCTTTGTATTTGTGTCCTTTGAATCCGATTAATAAAAGTATCGATCTTTATGTTTTATTGTTTATAGTGGTTTCGAGTATACATGTGTATCTTAAAAACCAAGATGAAAAATAATATTACATACATGATACATACATACCACTAAAGCCTGTCTTAGCTAGTATTTCCTTGTAAGCATTAAGACATGTAACATCTAGCTCATCGTTCCATATATAACATGCAGGAATGGTTGGGATATATCTAATTATTTTTTATCTAACTAGATAACAATTTGTTCAAGATCAATTCTTCAAACAGATAACACTTGCAAACTTGCGACATAGTTTAAAAAAAAAGAACTATAAATATGTAGTGTAATGTTAGACGTAATATACATAGTAGTCAAAATATATTTTGACGTAGAAATTATAATTTTTGCCAAATATCAAAGACTTTAAAAGTAATAGGTGAAAATATCATAATTAAGTTGGTAATGGATTTTTTTTTTGAGTTTAATGTTAAATTATATTTAAAAAGAAAAATTAACATTTTTACAACAAGTGCAATATTGTTTTGAAAGAAAAACTTATAAAGTATTAAAAGTGATTAAAAAATTCCACGACGATGGGAGCTTCTAACCTACGAAGAAGTCTTTCCCCTCTTCATTCGGAAGTAGAAGCTCTGGTGTGGGCGATGCGATGCATGATTGGCCATGACTTCAGAGAAGTTGCTTTTCTTACCGACTGTTCGGACTTGGTGAAGATGGTGTCTTCTCCTCACGAATGGCCGGCTTTCTCTGTCTACCTGGAGGATATCAAGAATGATAGGGAAGAATTCTCATCTTTTTCTTTATCTTTTATTCCTAGAAATCTGAATGTAAAAGCGGATTACTTGGCACGCAAAGCTCGTTCCAGTCCGCATTTGATTAAGTTTGTAAACAATTGTCCGTCAAGTTGGCTCATTTGAGTTAGCTTTTTATTTAGATAGAACAAAAAAAAAAAAAAAAAAGATTAAAAAATTCCCCCAAAAATATCTTAATCAAATGACTAGGAACGTGCTTGAAACCAACGTTGGAAACCTTCATCATATCGTCAATTACCCTCTCGTCGAATTGCTTGGAGCTGATCAACTCATTTTATGATTGTTGCAGTCGGATGTGAAGCATCTCCGTTAAGTTAGTAATCGATTTTTTGGCTTGAGGGGGGACGAAAATGTAATTTTTTCCTAATAATTCATTTGTATATATTTTTTGAGAACAAAACCTTGAGTTTTAGTTATAAGAAATTGTTAAGTCACATCTTATACACATATTGATTGACAAATTTCTCCAATTAATTTATCAAATAAAATAGTATTAAGTCAAAAACGAATTTGAGTTAATTAACACGTGCTCAAATTTGGCATTTTCAGACTAATCATTATGTATATTAGAGATGCCTTCATATACAATCAAACGTACGTTACAGATGTGTTATACGTAAACTGTAACACATACTAAAATATATAATGTATATGATCGAACTTCGTTCCACTTCCAGTAGTTTGGATTTAATTTGGACGGATTACAAAAGAATCTATATAACTCACTCCATGCTGAGACTTCTTCAACTATATAAAATCATTTACAAACAACAAATTTATTCATTTATTTCCGATTAGATTTTGTGGCAGAGAGATAGTTAACAATGGTGGTCTCGATTCTGATTATTTGAAGGTCAAGGCCGAGACGCAATAGTGGTTTCCAAAGTTTGATGGTGATTTCCAAAGCCGAGTAGATTAATGGATATTTCCATATATATAATAATGCTTATATACTAATGCTTCAACCTTAACCTAATACTTAATCTAAACAAACCCATTTACACATATGGGCTTTTACTACAATCATGGCCCATGGCCTTTTTCCTCTTCCTCCTCATACAACCAATGCTTCTTCTTTTTTTGGTAAAATACAACCAATGCTTCTTCTTCAGTTGCTTACGCATCTCTCTTCCTTCATAATTTCTCACCTTTCTCTTTGTTTCTCTTTTGCAGGGTTAAGTAATGAATCAACTTCCACCAGTTTTCACTTGATTATTTTTTATGATCATTGATTTTATGCCTTTATTACCTGTATGCAGAAATGTGTTTTTTTATTTCCTTTGTAAGAAAATCTATATCATTTATTTTTGATGAATTAACCGAAAAATTCAGATATATCTATATATATAAAGTTAACTTTTTCTCTCTTCTCCTTAAGCCACATCATCATCCACCTCATTTTATTATTTAATTTTTAAAATTAATTATACCATTTTATCATTTAATTTTACTATTTAAACCTATGTAAATAATATATATATATAAAGTTAACTTTTTCTCTTTTCTCCTTAAGCCACATCATCATCCACCTCATTTTATTATTTAATTTTTAAAATTAATTATACCATTTTATCATTTGATTTTAATATTTAAACCTATGTAAATAAGTTTTTCCAAAATAAATATGAAAGGTCTTTTTTATTATTATATATTATAAAACTAAAAAAGATAATTGATTAAGAGTTAAAAAAACTTACTAATTATCGATTATACTAACAAATATAATGTATAATATAAACCCCACATCATCATTCATCTTAATTTTTTACATTGATTTAGAATTACAACACTTTAGTTTTTAATTTCTTTTCTACCTCATAACTTAGCTTTTATTTTATTTTTCTATTCAATAGTGGTTTTAAGAAAATAAATAATATAGTAAAAAACATTTATGTCCAAAATAAATAAAACAAGTATATATTTATAAAGTAATGATCAATTTTTTGATTAATGGGGCTAAATACAAAAACAAAATACAAAGCAAGGATATTTATACTATACAGATAGATATACCACTAAATTGATGTCATCCGAAGCCACCTCAAACGAAAACACAACTGATTTTAGGCATAAGAAGTAGAAAAAAAAACCTTAAAGTAAAATGAAAACACTTGGATAAGTAAATAAGTGGATTCACCAGAATAATTTGGCTTACAAAAATTGAAGGCTTTTGAAATGTAAGCTTTTAACAGCTACTATTTGACCTAAATCATAGTTAAAAAAATAAAAATAAACATTGCATATACTAAATTAATACAAAACAACAGTAAAAACAAAAAAAATAAACAGAAAACAAAGAAAAATCAAAATATAAAAAACAATTATAAAACTCCCGCGCGCAGCGCGGATCAACAACTAGTATATATATATGTTAAACTCCTATAATCATATGGTGACATAAAATTTATTACGGTCGTTAAGAAATAACTTTGCCTTTTGATATGATTTTTAAAAGAATTAATTTAGCCTTAATCAACAAGACGATGATTAATTACCATAATATAGCCCGCACAGTTGTGGTCCAGTGGTAAGGAAGAATTGGGGACATGTTGGAAGGAACTAACCCAGATTCGATCCACCCTGGAAACAAAAATCATGGTTGTGTGGGAAGTCTGGGAATTGGGCCAAGGCCCAGTTGCTTTACCTGTTAGTCAGAAATGCAGACGACCTGATTACCCTTGGCATTAGTCGGAAAACATTCCAAACTCGGGATAGACAGTGTGTCATGGCCCTTCGGAGAGAAGTCCACTCTGAAGCATTTCGGTGCGATTCTACCGGAGCTGACGGGATAAGCCGATAGGATTTATCAAAAAAAAAAAATTACCACTTGGTTGAACCATTAAACTTCTTTCATTTTTCACGTCTTTGAGATACTACTATACATATGTAGTTAATAAAAGAGAAAATCATTATTAAAAAAAAAAGAATAGAATTGACCAATCAATTGATAATGTTATCGTGAAGGATGATTTGGGCATGATCATTATCATATTTATATATTAGAAGCCTGTTCGAAGGAATAACTAAATTCTCGATCTCTCCTATAGCTACCACCCGTGAACTATAATAGTACACTATTAGCATGTTCGACCTTATTTTTTATAATCCGAATATAACAAAAGATACCACTATAATACATGAAACTATATGTTATTTAATCAGCAAAAGGATCAAACTAGTATGATCACTTACAATATATCATTCAATACAAATCATAGAAATGTATTATCCGAAAGAGAAACAACAACGATGATTTTGTCGTTAAATAACACCTTAAGATATACTATATTTTGATCTAATTTCCAACAATTATTTTACGTTATTCAACTATAGACATTGATTTCCTTTCAGATTTTTTTTCGAAATTATGATTTTATTTGTTTCACACAATGAAAATGACCTTTTAATGCCAAATTTGTGCTAAACCATCTAATAAAGTCTTAACGTTGAAATCATACGATTGAGATATTTCTATATTTTAAACCCTAAAAATATCCAAACTAGTCTATTATAAACCCCTAATATACGGAATGATATGATAAGTCCAACCATTTGAGACTACTAATACAATTATCACATGGAAATGAAGTAATAAACTTTGTCTTCGTGTGTGATTATGTGTAGACATAATGGTGAAGGATAAAATTTATGAGGCTTTGCATAGTTAATTTCTAAAATAAGATTATAAATTTGATTATATTCTTAATAATCGTGAAGGCCCGTACATATATTGGTATAATTCGAAAATTTGGGAGTTGTCTAGTTAATTATTTTAGAGGATCCACTTCAACCACCAAATTTTGATTTATGGATATATAAATTCTTACCACCAACTAAGTAGTTAATTAAAATTAGAACCATATACTACTAGAGATTACCAGCTCATTTGAACAATAATGACAATTTAGTGTTTTCTAATATTAATCAATCCCTTATCTCTTAATGAAAACCCTATAAATAGACACTAAACACATAACATATCTCTCCACCCATCTCAAACAAGCTTAAACGCACTACTACTTCTTGAGCCTTTTCCACTTTACAAAACGAAATGGCTCCAAGAACCTCCCTTGCTCTTTTCCTTTCTCTCAACCTCCTCTTCTTCACTTACACCTCTGCGACATGTTACAAGTGCCTCCCCACCCCAACTACCCCGACCATCCCGACCATCCCGACAACCCCGACCACCCCGACTACCCCGACCACCCCAAGCACAGGTACTTGTCCTAGAGATGCCCTACAGCTCGGTGTTTGCGCCAATGTGCTCAAGCTAGTGGACCTAAAATTGGGAAACCCACCTGTTAAGCCATGCTGCTCTCTTATCCAAGGCTTGGCTGACCTTGAGGCTGCGGTCTGCCTTTGCACTGCTCTCAAGGTTAACATTCTTGGAATCAACCTTAACCTTCCCATCGATCTCAGCGTTCTCCTCAATGTTTGCAGTAGAAAAGCTCCAAAGAACTTCCAGTGCGCTTAAGTTCAAAAAGAACTTATAGCATACCTACAAAACAAATGAACCAATAATCATACATTGTATGAATACTCGAAACGTTATCTTTATCTTATTGTCTTTCTTTTAAAAGTGATTTTTGTTTTTTTCTTTCTGTATTTGTCTTGGATTGTTTAAAATGAAAGTACGTTCTCATGCAGTAATGGGTAATAGGTTTGCATGTGTAATCAGCAAGTTTTTACTCCTTTGCTTCATTGTACGTTCCTCCATATCTCTTCTTTGTAATTGTGTCCTTCAGATTTGATTAATAAAAGTATCGATCGATATGTTTTGTTGTCTATATCGCGTACACATATTATTTAGGATATGTTCGTAAATTCTTAATTGTGATACGTACCATATATCGATATATATGTCAATCTTAAAAACCAAGATGGAAAAATAATATACTACATACATGCATGATACATATACACTACTAAAACATGTAACACCCAATGGCAACAACAGAAAAATGGGAATTGGGAGAATATATTGAAATTTGTAGAATATCTAACGTACTTAACTGAGTGCCCACATTTAGATGTCTATTAACGAAAATACGTAAATTGTAAATGGCTTATCGGTGATCGGTCCATAACATATATATGCAAGAATGGTCAAGAATGAAGAAATTAAGATTCTTCAAACTTCGGACATAGTTAGAAATAAATAGGATGATACATAGGATTCAAAATATATTTTGACTAAGAAATTAGAACTATTTGCCAAATGCCAAAGAATTTAAAAGTAATATAGTACCTAATAGGTGAAAAAAAATCATAAATAAGATGGTAATCTTGGCTTGACTTGGGAACGAAAATGTAATTTTTGTTCTAACAACTCATATTGTTAAATATTTTTTTTTTGAGAACCAAAAACTAGAATTTTGTTATAGTTAAAACTTAAAAGTCACAATCTCGTTCCCAAGTCAAAAAAATAAATAAAAATCTCCAATTAATTTATCAAATAAAATAGTATTATTTAAGTCAAAAATTAATTTGACTAAATTAATCGATGAAACCCTCCCGTGATCAAATTTTGGAATTTTCAGACTAATCAGTTATATATTAGAGATGCCTTCATATACAATCAAACGTTACAGATGTGTTATACGTAACTGTGACACATACTGAAATATATAATATTTATGATCGAACTTCGTTCCACTGCCAGTAGTTAGATGAGTTTGGATTTAATTTGGATTGATTACAAAAGAATCTATATAATTCACTCCATGCCGGATACTAACATCCAATACGTCTATATATATATATCAATGTTTATATATTGTTTGTTATAAATTAATAATTTTTCATTCTTTTTTATAATGATTTTTAGTAGTTAGTTTTCTATAATTTCTATCTAAAATATCATATTTATGATTTTATTTGTTATAATGCATATATCATCTAAAAGCGTCTAAGCGTTGACTAAGCGATTTAGGTGCTAGGTATTGTATTACAGTCTAATTAACGCCTAACGTTTTCTTTAAAAATATATATATATATATATATATATATCAAATTTTTATATAAACATGTATAAAAATTGAATTAAATACGAAGGTGTATTAAAATCTAATATGTATAATATATCTAGAAAAACTCTCGTCTAGAAATCCCAATTATTTTTTGAGTATTCTGAGATTAAACTGTTATTTGAATCCATTTTTATAGGGTTACTCATATAATCATGAAATTAGCCCATGTAATCCTGAAATTGTTCTAACCGAAAAAACGATTACAAAAATTTACCAACACTTAATACAGAAGTAACCTATATATATTTTGTTACTGGATCATTGCTTACTTCCTGGGCCGTTAGCTTTAGGAGCCCAAGTCCACAAAAAGATGTTGTATCTTTATGATAAGGGTCCGAATGGTAACTGCGGTTTTCACTGCGGGAGAAGTGCGGTGCGGTTCAAATAGTAGCGAAAATATATAGATATATATGTATATGTAGATATTTTGACACTGTTACAGCACTATTGCGGTGCGGTTTTGTAGTGCGGTATGGTTACAATTCGGAGCCTAAGTATAGGAAAAAAAAATTTGGTGGTATTTAAAAAGAAAAAACAAATTATGAAATTTTTGAGAAAAAGAAACTTAAATTATGATATTATTGAGAGAAAAAAAAACTTAAAATATTATATTTGAATTAATTTCTCTCTATTTTAATTAAAATAAAAATACACAAAACAGACGAAAATATAATACTAAATATATTTTGTCTGACAAATAAAAAACATTATCTCAAAATCTAACCGACTTCTCTCATCCAACCACTGTGAAAAAGCACTCACTCACACTTTTTCCTTTCTCCGTCACCAAAAAAAGAAGTTTTCCCGAGAAAATCCCAAATCTCATCTCTCTCTCTCATTTATGAAAACCCTACCTTCTTCTCTAGATCTCACCTTCCCAGATATGGCGACGATTCCGATGGACATCGTCAACGACATCTTCCTCCGATTACCAGCTAAAACCTTAGTTCGTTGCCGTGCTCTCTCAAAGCCATGTTACGATCTAATCGACGATCCCGATTTCATCTCATCTCATCTTCACCGCGTCCTTCAAACCGGTGATCATCTCATGATCCTTCTCAGAGGCGCTCTTCGTATCTACTCTGTAGATCTCGATTCACTCGATTCTGTCTACGACGTTGAGCATCCGATGAAACGTGGTGGTCCGACGGAAGTTTTCGGATCCTGTAACGGTTTGATCGGGTTATCTAATTCTCCGACTGATTTAGCTGTTTTTAATCCGTCTACTAGACAGATTCATAGGTTACCTCCGTCGTCTATCGATCTCCCCGATGGTTCGAGTAACCGTGGTTACGTGTTTTACGGATTGGGATATGATTCTGTGAGTGATGATTATAAAGTTGTGAGGATGGTTCAGTTTAAGAGAGATTCAGAGGATGAACTTGGTTGTACTTTTCCTTATGAGGTTAAAGTGTTTAGTTTAAAGAAGAATTCGTGGAAGAGGATTGAATCTGCTTCGTCTTCGATTCAGTTGTTGTTTTACTTTTATTATCATCTCTTGTATCGTCGTGGTTACGGTGTTCTTGCTGGTAATAGTCTTCATTGGGTTTTGCCTCGAAGGCCTGGTTTGATTGCGTTTAATCTCATTGTCAGGTTTGATCTTGCCTTGGAAGAGTTTTCGATTGTTCGGTTTCCGGAAGCTGTTGCGAATGGTAATGTTGATATTCAGATGGATATAGGTGTTTTAGATGGTTGTCTTTGTTTGATGTGTAACTACGACCAGGAATATGTTGATGTTTGGATGATGAAAGAATACAATGTGAGAAGTTCTTGGACTAAGGCTTTTACTGTTCAGAAACCGAAAAGTATGAAATCGATTGCGTATATGAGACCTTTGATTTATTCCAAGGACAGAGATAAGGTTCTTTTGGAGATTAACAATACAAAGCTAGTGTGGTTTGATTTAGAGAGTAAGAAGATGAGTACTCTTAGGATTAAAGACTGCCCTAGCTCATATAGTGCAGAACTGGTTGTGAGTAGCCTTGTTTTGGGATGTAGAGGAGATCTTAATAACATTAAGTTGCGGGAAGAACAACGTGCGAAAGAAGCTGAAGAATCAAAAATGATGCAGAACAGTAGAAAGAGGTGTGGCTTTATTCTTCGAGCAAACAAATCCATATGATAATCTTTATTCTTCAAATGTTAATCATAATGATGTATTGATATGCTCAGTATCTTGTTTGTTGTTCATGTTAGGGATGATTTCCTGTCCAAGGGATTCAAGCTGGTCTTATAAGTAAAAATCAAGAAACAAGAGCATGAAACTAGTAAAAAGGTAAGTGTAAAACTGACCATTATTAATGGTATTTAGTTTGCTGCAATATCATTATTTTTCTTTGCTTGCCTTTTTTTTGTCTCTATTTTCTTTTGTCGTGGGCGAGCATTTTTCGTATTCGGGTGGACACAAGAGTCAAAGGCAGAAGTCTGTCATAGGTATTGATTGTTTAGAGCATTCTGTAGAAAGTGTTAAGTAGTCATCATCATTAGGACCATTACTTAAGCATATCACCATATTCATTCAAGTGTGTTTTTTTTAACATCAGTCTTTACGGGAATTGTTCGATCTGCAAACCATCATCGAGATTTGATTTTTCAGGGCGGGGATAAGGGGACGGGAGAGAGAATTAACCTCAACAAAAAAAAAGCTTTGAATACCACAGGACATATAGTAAGTAATAAACAACTTAACCTAAGTATATGTCTTGAGAGAAGAAGAGAGTATACTTCATATATACAAGTGTTGTTACTGGTTTGTAAATAAGTGAAACCTTGAATCCCCTACATAACTCTTTTGAGGCTTGTTATTACTTAAATACCACTAACGCTTTGTACTTCCTCCTTTTTAAGTCTCTGCATAAACTGAGAATTAGTCAGAACAAAATATTCGTATCTACCAAATGAATCACTAGCATGAACACATTCAAACGAATACAAAAGAGCTTATTGTTGGTTTTAATAATTTCTGAAATCTATGAGACGAAAGTTGAATTTTTCAACTGTCGATTTTTTAACTAGTCAATAAGAAACGCTACACCATCTGCTTATCTTATAAGCCTCGTCGAAATGCTGTGTTTGGTGAGCACTCCTAGTCACGGAACAGTATATTGCAAAGTCCAGTTTTCTTATTTGGATGTGACAAATGAACAATTCCCAAACAATAGAAGCTGCGAAGACGCATGAAAGATTGGATTGCACGAAAGAGACATTGATGTGAACTGAACCTTGGGATATGATTCGTTTATTCATGTAAAGATTGGATTGCAACGAATAGTCCACTTTCTAGACTTTTTCATGGGTCTATAAAGTGCAGCACCATTTTGACTTGCGAAACAATATGAAACGACCATTTCGACTAGCCAAATGATATGGAAAAAACCATTTTGACTAGCGCAAACGATGTGATGACTGTTTTTGACTAGCCAAACGATACGAAACGACCTGCCAAACGATGTAAAACTACCATTTCAACTAGCCAAACGATACAAAATGACCATTTCGACTAGCCAAATGATATGAAAAAGCCATTTTGACTAGCCCAAACGATGTGAAGACTGTTTTTGACTAGCCAAAAGATACAAAACAATCGTTTCGACTTGCCAAGCGATGTGAAACTACAATTTCAACTAGCTAAACAATACAAAACGACCATTTTCACTTGCCAAACGTTATGAAACGACATTTCGACTAGCCAAACGATCTAAAATGACTACTTTGACTAGCTAAACGATATGAAATGCCTGATTTATCTACCAAAAGTTCCTTCCAAACCAGTTCTTAGAGCCGTCCCTTCATTCACACTTTCTGTGAGTTAATCCAAAAGAGAATGTGGTACATAAGGTGCTTATTTTTGTGCCAATATTTTTTTTAAAAGTTGTGTTTCATAGTTCATAGTTTTTTTTTTTTGTAGGCAAAAAAAAAAGTTCATTGTATTTTTTTTATTTTACTGTTGAAAGACTCAAAGTTGCATTTTATAGTTATTACTTAGAAACTATTAACATATAGAAAAAAAAGAAAGAAATAAAACTAGAAAGCTAATAAATCTTATAATCTCTAAATAAATTAAAAAGATTTGACCATACTATTAAGAGTTAAGACCAAAAGAAAGTAAAAAAAAAGGGAAAAAAAAAGAAAGAAGAAAGTCCTTTCTTTTTTGTTTCTTTCTTTATCTGATTAACCTTTAACCATAAATGACATTATTTATTACTTAAATTCAGTGATTCTCATTATACTATTTAATTTCATACAAAATGCACATCATCTAGTCACAATTAATTAAAATTAAAATACAAAGTGTGAAAACGTCTGTGAAGAGAGAAGAGAGAGAAGAGAGAGAAGAAGAAGAAAATAAACATTACGACTCTTTCTCTCTCTGTGTGTGTGTGTATGTTAAACTTAAACCCAGACGAAACCTCCGATCGTCTTCTTCAAATCTCTTCATCTTCCTCCTACCTCATCTATAAAGACAACACCGTTGCTGTTATCTCTCCGGCGAATCGAATTTTGGATAAGGTTTTGGTTGAAACCAGAGGTATATAGAGAGGAGAGAAGAGGGTTTTGCTCGTCTCTCGATGACTCTAAGCCGTTCATCAGCCGCCGATTCATTTCATAGCTCTAACCGATCTTTCTCCGCCGTGGCTGGAACCGATCATCACAAACGTAAGCTAGATGATTTCGACGCTTCGTCGTCACCTGATTACGTCGGCGTTGTTGATTTCTTCCACAAGATGAAGAAACACGAGGTTGACGCTGATCATACGGCGCAGCAGACTTTGGTTTCTTGGAGATGCGGTGAGAATTTCGCGTTTAATCGGTCTTTCTCTTCTTCTTCTTCTTATTCTTCTCCTTCTCCCGGGGAGTGTTCTTCCTCGAATCGTTCTGAGTCGACTCGGTTACAAATCTTTGTGAGGATGATGTCTGGTGGTAAAACGATTGTGATCCACGCTGATAGAAACGATACTGTGGAGAAGCTCCATGAGAGGATTGAGTGGAAGACGAAGATTCCGGTGAGTGAGCAACGAGTTATCTATAAAGGTAAGCAGTTACAGTACGAACACTCACTTGCTTACTACTCGATCGAGCAAGACGCTTCGCTTCAGCTCGTTGGTAGGATGCAGAGTACAGAGCACCCTGTGGCTTGGCAAACGATTGATGATATTATGTACACAATCTCGAGAATGTACAGAGGTGAAATTATTCAGTCCAACATCAATGAGAAGCTCGGTGCTTTCTTTGCCATGATTCCTGTGGAGACTGATGAGTCCATTGCCAAATATTTGAAGATCTTTTCGGATTCTTCGGTTCCAGCTGCTTTAGTGATGCTCTACGCTTCTCCTTCAGAAAGGAACAAATCGTGTGCTAAAATTTCTGTTAAGCTCTTCTTGAATAGTTGCTCAGCCTTGCCCAAGAATCAGCTGAACTATTGTTTACCGATAGTGTTAGATTTCTGTAAATTGCTTAGGAACGTTTGCCCTGATCAGAAGCTCTATGTTACTTGCCGGAACACCTTGGGCTCAATGCTGGAAACGTTTGATAACCCTCGTGTATTCGAGGGTGGATTGACGGCAGTTGGGGTGGAGATTTTCCCCTTCTTTACCGAGTTAACTGGTTTGTTAGTGAATGAGTTAGTCCAGGATTCAGGGCCTAGTTTCGGTGACTTTCATAAATTATCTTCCTTTTGGCAACACTTGAGGAAGGCCATTGAAATCCAAGTTGCCTACCCAATGCCCATTGTCTCACCTCTGCGGAATAATGGATTGGATGCGGAAATCGGACATCTCCATAGGTTATTTGGAACCTTGCTGACTACAATGGATGTTTGTATGTGTAGGGTCATCAAACCTTCGCTGCCTGACAAAGAAGTTGGAAACGGTGAAGTTACGTCTTCATCGTGGTCTCAATATCTTGCCATTCTGAAGATTATCAATTCAATGTCTAACCTCTATCGAGGTGCTAAGGGACAGCTAGCTGTTATTTTAAATAGAAACAAGGTTTCATTCTGCACCCTCATTCTGAAATTTGCGAAAAGAGGAGATGACCACCAATGGATCTTTGAGTACAAGGAAGCTACCAACTTTGAAGCTAGGAGGCATTTGGCCATGATGTTGTTTCCTGACGTGAAAGAAGAATTTGATGAGATGCACGAAATGCTAATTGATCGCTCCAATTTGTTATCAGAATCTTTTGAATACATAGTTGGCGCAAGCCCTGAAGCACTTCATGGTGGACTGTTCATGGAATTTAAGAATGAGGAAGCGACAGGTCCTGGTGTTCTACGAGAATGGTTCTATCTGGTATGTCAGGAGATATTCAATCCAAAAAATACTCTCTTCCTTCGATCTGCTGATGATGTTAGAAGATTCTCTCCAAACCCAGGTAAGCTTTGTGCCAGGTTATGCTGCTTTTCTCATGACATCACCAGCCTAGATGCAAAGTGAATTTAGACCTTGCTTGCCTATAGTTTCTTACTAGCTGATAATCTCGTTCGCTGTTAATCAGTCCTTAAATTCAGTATTGCATAGTCTGTTGTTCCTACCGTGCTCATAATTTGTTTGGTGGTTAGGTGAAGTAAACATGCACAAGTTAAACTTTAAATATAAATGATTATTGTGCTGTTATTATAGGATCCATATGCAGAAAGGGTTACTATTGAACTTTTAAGAATCCTAAATTCTTACATAAACGGTTGATCATGGTACTTCTTATCATGTTTAAATATCCTGTGGTGAATCTTCATGAAGTTGAAAATATATGGAAGCTATCTTGCCTTGGAATTAAGAATTAAAGCTTTTGTGATGTTACTCTTTGCTCTAACTAGATATTTATTGTCTATGATGCTCGAATGTTGATTCAGTAATATTAGATATTTTGTCTTATTTTCAGCATCCAAGGTAGATCCGTTGCATCCTGATTTCTTCGAGTTCACGGGTCGTGTGATTGCCTTAGCTTTGATGCACAAAGTTCAAGTGGGTGTGATGTTTGATCGTGTATTCTTCTTACAATTGGCTGGACTGAAAATTTCTCTGGAAGATATTAAGGAGACAGATCGAGTTATGTACAATAGCTGCAAACAGATTCTAGAAATGGATCCAGTGTTTTTCGATTCAAACGCCGGCCTTGATCTAACATTCGTGTTGGAAACCGAGGAGCTGGGAAAGAGGGATATAATAGAGCTATGTGAAGGTGGGAAATCCATGGCTGTCAACAGCAAGAACAGGAAACAATATGTCGATCTCCTCATCGAACGCCGATTTGCCACACCAATTTCCGAGCAAGTAAAACAATTTTCCCGGGGTTTCACTGATATGCTTTCAGATTCCATACCGCCCAGATCCTTTTTCAAGAGAATATACCCAGAGGATCTCGACGGAATGCTTCGAGGAGGAGAAGACCCCATAAGCATAGATGATTGGAGAGCACATACAGAGTACAACGGATTCAAAGAGACTGATCGCCAAATAGATTGGTTCTGGAAGGTAATAATAGAGTAAAAGCACTTGATACTTTGCTCAAATTATAAACTTTGATACTGTGACTAAACCCTTCATCGGATTTTGTAGATACTGAAGAAAATGACAGAGGAAGAACAGCGGAATATACTGTTCTTTTGGACATCACTTAAGTTTGTACCAGTGGAAGGGTTTAAAGGATTATCATCAAAGCTTTATATCTACAGATCATTCGAAGCTAATGATCATCTTCCATTGTCTCACACTTGCTTTTACCGTCTCTGTATACCAAAATACACAACGAGCAATCTCATGGAACAACGCCTTCGTCTCATCGCTCAGGATCATGTCAGCTCCAGTTTCGGTAAATGGTGACTGAGTTATCAAAAGTAAATCTTGTTTCTCCTTTCTATCTATCCCTCTCCCCTCTTTGATCTTTAAATAGGGTTTAGTAGATTGGTGCTTTTGGTGTATAGATTTAGAGTTGTGGTCATCAGTCTCTGTTATATGACCAAAAGAGAAAGGTGAATGAAACCTTTCTTAACTTATGGTTAATTAAATTTTAAACTTATCCCGACAAGTAATATATAAGTAAAAAAAAAGTGTTCTTTTGACATATCTCGTGTTTTGTTTTTTTTTGTCTTGTCTTTTTTTTTTGTAAACGTTTTTTTTTGTCTTGTCTAGATTTATCAAATCATGTAAATAAGAATAAACATTAGGGTACAATTGCTTCGTATAAATAAAATAAATTAGAACATTATAAATCTTTTTATATAAATATATTATTGAGCAACCAAACATCAAACTCTCTTCAAGACCACCACCACCTCAATGGTCTCATCACTCATAATATTACATTAAGCATTCTAACACCTTAATAATCTTATTATTAAACGAAACTCATCATCATACCACATTTATATATAGTAGGACTTAAGAAGAAACAAAATGTTCTCATAGGTAAGAGAAAGCTTCTTTTTATTACACTGCCTTGCCATCAACAGCGGTAGCTTCAGCAGCCGGTTTAACATCTTTCTCCTCCACAGCTGCTGGAGTTTCAACTGGTTTCTCCTCTGTAACCGGAGCTATCTCGGTTTTCTCGGTTTCGTTCTCTACCTTTGGTGGTGCTTCTTCTCCTTTGATTTCAACTTCAACCGCGGTGGTTGAGTCATCTGTATGAACGGTTTCCTTAGGCGTCTCGGTCGTTGGCTCGGTTGTTGTTGTTGTCTTCTCTTCTGTGGTTGGTACTATCTTTTCGACCTGCACATACGAACCCGCCTTTAAAGAGTATTTGATAGATCATTCACTAATGGTGATGGGACTATTAACAAATCTTATATACGTCACAGCCTATGATTCTACCTAATAAGTATCATTAATATAACTACTTGAACGTTACAAATGGATCAAAAGAAATGATCTAAGTACCACGTACCTCAACACCAGCCATTTTGGAGACTCTGAATAAGAATGATAAGAACAAAAGCTGGAAATATTTAAGTATGGGTGAGTTTAGAAGAGGAAGGATAGGTTTGTGAGTGAGTTTAAAGAAGAAGAGAAGGATGGTATTTATAGACTTAAATCTTCAAAAAAGTAGAAACACAAAAATTGATGAATTATTAAAATCATTTGAAGCATATGGATGATGACAGATGTGTTATATTTACAGGTAAGAGCATATCACTAATCAAAGTGTGTAAAGTAAACTATATAACTTGTGATGAAGTGTTTATGTTTGGCTCGTGGAGAACATATTTCTGTAACCCGTCTTTATCATATGTACTATTTTTTTTTTCTTTTCATAATTTTTGTGATATTTTTTTTTTATTCAGTTAAATTTGTATTTCATGTCGACTATACCAGATCATTAGGTCTTATCGTATTACAAATGATGATTCTATTATTCATGAAAAAGGAATATAATCTTTTATATCAATTGAAAATACATCAAACATGTAGTTATGTAGAACACTAATTTGGTTCTCTAAACCAAGCCAATTTTCCATTAATATGATATTGTCCGCTTTGGGCCTATAAATCAAGTCTGTACGGATTTGTTGGACTTATCTATTAGAAACTTTTTTTCTAATCTTTCGATGTGGGATATTGGTTTGTATTCCAATACTCCTGAATCTTAAGACTCTTATTCTTGAGATATCATTTCTATCATGGGTTCTCTAAACCAAGCCAACTTTCCATTAGTATGATATTGTCCGTTCATAACTCAAACCTACACAGATTTGTTATCGGGCTCTTTCCCAAAAAGTCTTGTACTAATTATAATTGGATTTGAGTTATATATTAGAAACTTGTCTTTCTAATCTTCCGATGTGGATATTGGTTTGTATTCCAATACCGTCGACAACATCGATCCATACCACAAAGAGTTTTTACAACAATTTCTCTATATACATTACAAGTTTATGATATATAACATGTATGAATACACTCAACAGTTATCCATGCACCACATTTGAGATTTCCCATAAAATTTACTTTTATTGATTCGCATAAATTTTGGAAATCACACAAATGTCCGAATTTTTATTATATAGTTCGATATTTTCTAGTTTTCTATGTATGTTATGTGTATTTATTTTGTATTTTTGGTCAAAAAAATTGCGAGAACAATATAAATAACACCTATTGATACCAGAAAGTTACGTAACGGATCATTTTTTATCAACCTATTTAAAAATGTTTAATGAAAATACTAAATAACAATGACCTCCTTCGAACACTCTTTTTCATATAGTGTAAAAACAAGAGAAAATAGTCCTAATAAAGTCCAAATAATAATAAAATGTTGATAATGAGTTTGGTTTTCACTATTTTGGTGTGTTACACTTGGAGGATATGTATATATAGATGACATCCATTTGTCGTTATTATGCTTTTCCTTTTCATATTTTCAAGATTTTATTTCTCAAACTTTTAGAAGTTTAATTCTCTCACGTCACCTCTTTTTGTAATTAAATCATTTAGTTATGACAACCATGTAGTAATTTGGACCATTACTTTCAAGTTCCCATGTTTTGATATTCAAACCGAACTTTATACCACAAAACGAATCATTCGATTCTTTTCTTGCTTTTGCTGTTTTATTTTTCATTACTTTTGTTTTGAAAAGAAACCAGAACTTGAGTTATTTAACCATCTCCGATGTATTTTGCTATTTTTACCTCTAATATAAAGAACAGTATAATAGAGTAAGTTTTATTTCAATGTACTCTTCTATAATAGAAAATTCTATTTTTTTTTCTATATACAGAAAATTATATTTTTTTCCTCTATATATAGAAAAATATATAATAATCTCTATTTTAAAAATAAAAATAAAAGTGCGTTGGAGCATATTTGCCTTTATACTTTATTTTAGAAGCAAATATAAAAATTATATAGAGATAAGTTGGAGATGCGCTTAGCATCAAACATGGTTGTGCCAAACTGCCAAAGGTTTCGTGATTACGAATTTATCATATGGTTTTGATTGGTTATAATATTTAATGGCAATTGGAGATTCAATTTATTTATTAATCCGATGAGATGAGATGGTTAAAAATGACTATTGGAAACTTAGGGGGTGTTATTGGATTAAGGATTTTAAAAGAATTGGATGTATTATAAAATCAGGTGTTATTCAATCGTGTATTTTAAAAAATACTTTAAAATCAGGTGTTATTCAATTTCTATTAGATTTTGATGGATTTCATTTCAAGTGGATTTTAATGTACTTTTTTAACTAAAGCATGAGTAACTAAAATCCGAGAGTTTTGATAAGTATTTTGATGTATTCCATATAAAATAATAAATAAATGAAAAAGCATTTTTTCAGATCACGTTAACCATGTTAACCATCTTCTCCACCATTATCATCACTTCCACTGAAACCTTCAACCACTTCTCCAAGGCTCAAACGAGAGAGTTAAGAGATCTCAAACCCCCCAACTCATTCTACTCAATTTCTTGAGAATCCATTGGCATCAAGTAGAACTATTATCCTCCCCAGCAAACCCACACCACCATCACATGAGATTTCACCGTTTGAATTAATTTTTGGGATTTATCCAGAGAATTATGGATGAAAAATCGTTTTTCTTCATGTGCAATTTGTGAAAATTTGCATTTCTCAGCAATTGAGTTTTTAAAAGCAAAATACTATTTTGAAAACAGATTCGACAAACTCAATAAAAAAAAAAAAATTTTGAAACAAAGATGATAAAGCAGTTAATATTTTTTTTTTTTGTTGATTTTGTTCATCTATATTGTTTTTCTTTTTAGGATATCCAAAGGAAAAAAAACAATACAATGAAATACAACGAAATCTTCCTAAAATATATTAAATCCATCGTAATCCATCAAAAAGTACTTCAAATACAAATACATTAAAAAACTACAAAATCCTTAATCCAATAACACCCCCTTAAACGAAAATAGTTTAAACACTAAAAAAAAAATTAATGAATTAATGACCGTCTTGCGTGGGATGATAAAATTATTTAATTATTTAATTATTTATTGATTTTTTTTAGTTAATTGACTTAATTCTCTTTAAAAAGTTTAAAAGATAAAACTGAAGTTTACAATATTTTTTCTTTTACAATAATATTTTTACTTCTTTTTTCTGAAACATATATTTACCCGTTTATTTTAACTTAACTATTTTTTTCTTTTCTATCATAATCATCATATCCAAGTGGCAGAATCATACTAAAATAAAAGGAAACATTCTGTTCTTGTGGAACACAGTTAACCAAATCGAACCAAATTGAACCGGAAATAAATAGTACTAATATGGAGAATCCAAAATTTTATAGAGAGCATCAGTTTTGCAACTTACAATCAAAGAAAATAGAAAAACAGAACCAGAATCTATTTTAGCTGAAACAGAGGAAATAACTGTTAAGATTCGGTTTCAAATCCAAGTTTCTACACAGCTTGAATGTTTTCAACATCTGAGTGAAGTAAAACCACAACTGTCTGAAAACCATATCGTCTATGTCTCTCTCTACTTCACGAGTTTTCTTAATACTGATTCTGCGCGCTGCTCAAATCGTGGTAGAGCCCATTCGTGCTGAATTATGTCGAGACCATCCTTCTCTGCACCCAGGCTCTGTTCAAAAGTAAAATGCAATGATACTGAGTCAGATATTGTATAAGATCGAAAATGAAAACATAAAGAAAAATTGAATTAACACTTTCTTGTGCATGATCACAACTCACAAGTAAGGTTAGTATAGTTTATATGTGATTGATTACCTTTGATGCATCAAATCCAAACCCACCCATTTGCATCATGCGTTGTGTGTCATCAATGGCTGCATAAGAAACAGAAGTATAAACCATTATTACCAAATTTTTTACTTTAAATGAGTGTGAGAATATTAGTATGCGAAAATTAACCATTTTCATCTCCGAGAATTAGACTGAACAAGCCTCTTAATCCAAACAAGTTCAAAAAGTACCTGAAAAGTGAAAGAATAACTCATGAAACAAGAGAAAGGCAATATCCAGAAGCAACTATGATTAGCACATCGAAAATTTTGAGAGGAACGAGATAACAGAAAGTCCTATATGGCTATATGTAAGCTTGGGAACTTACCAAGAGCGACTACTCACGTAGCTAACATCAACAGTGCTCAAGTCAATGCCATTCTGTAACATTGATCTGAACCTTTGAGTCAATGGGAAAGGTATTTTGGCTGCAAGATAAATAAAGAAGACTCAGATGCTATGGAATTATTAAAACTTACGGAGACTAGATAATCAAGGAGATGATTAACTGGTGCGCAATCATAGCAGTGAAACATTTTTTTTTGGGCAAACATATGATTGCAATTTATAAGTGAGAAGTGAAAAGTAAAGGCAGAAACAAAGTTTAAGGTTAAAAACCTGCAACGAATCCAGAGAAGAAGAAGTTGACCCAGGCAAAAGTAAGTGTCTGCAAAATGTGATGTCAGTTTCTAATATTACCAGTAAGTAGTAACGCAAAGACATAGAAGAAGAATTTCAAATTCAATCTACCTGGGGAATAATCATGGAAAGGTTTTTCTTCATCATATCCATGGCCATGTTAGGATCAGAAAACATAGCAGCTTGTGGATTTGTAGCTTCTCCCTTGGGAACATGTAGCAAACCATTCTCCTAAAGCAAGCAAAAAACACATCTTTCTCAAATTCCATATCCATAAATACACTCATAAGACACTATTGAACTGTTCACTCCCATTTCCCTCAAGCAAAACAAAGAGACAATAAAAGAAAAACAAGAGACCATAAATAGCTTTCCTCGTGCAAAGCTACACAGCATAAACTAACTATCAACTATACCGAGCTTAGTAACACATAAAGGTATCATAATTATCATGGAAAGGTAACTAATTCTACACAAACGATCACAATTGGTTAAACACTTCTTCAGGCTAACACGATCCCATAACCCTTATTACGCATTGGAATGTTTCTATCCTTTTAAAAAGCTTGATGAACAAAGCAAAACAGAACTTAAGCTACACTTTGATAAAAAAAATATCACAAAGAATGCTATGCACATAGATTATGAGCTGTTCACGACTAACCCACAAAATAAAAAACCAAGCTTTCAAAGGAATCAATCACACAATGGAAAATCTCAAAATCAGAAACAAAGAAAAGACAAAAAGGTCAAATCTTTGAAAAACTCATTACCTCGTTAGTAAAGTAGAATCTCCGAGTACGAAATGATCTCGGTGGGATAAAATTAGCACCAACTTTGAGATTACGAGCTCTGATTACAACTTGCCTAGATCAACAAAAAAACAAAATCAAATCAAATCGAATCAGCTAACAACAACACATAAATCACAGTTCTAAAGAACGAAGAAGAAGACTCACCCTTCCTTAACCATCTTAGCATCTGGAGTTGGAGAAGAACGCATAAGCTTAGAGACAAAGTATCTCAAGATACCAATAAGAACCATCACAACTGAGAGAGGAATCAGAACCCAATCTCTGATCGCCGTATCAAGAACTAAATCCTCCGCCATTATAATTCCTCTCCTAAACCCTAATTACCCTCTTCTCTCGGCTCTGCTTCTTCTGAGATCTTCTTCTTCTTCTCCTCCTCTGTTCGATTCGATGAAGCAAAAACTCGATCTGAGAGACTTCTCTGAGAATCAGATAAATAAATTACTTATTGAAAACAAAAAAAATCTAAAACCTTCTGACTCAGACAGAGATGTTCTTTACACAACCCAGGGACAAAATCGACAATACACATTACGATCTCATAATTAAAATTCGAAACCTTCTAAGCAAACCAGAGGCTCTTTATAAAACCCTAATATGTTGTTGTCTATTAAACCCAAACTTTAAAACCCTAGCTTCTGTCTTCTCGTCGCTTCCTTCTTTCTGAACTCAAAAACTCAGAACCTTAGGAGGAGAAGAAGAAGAAGAAGAAGATGACAGTAGAAGCAGTGAACCCTAAGGCGTATCCGTTAGCTGATTCTCAGCTAGCAATAACGATTCTTGTTCTTGTCCAACAAGCTACTAATTACAAACAACTTAAGAAATGAGCTAATGAAGTTACCAAGACATTGAACCGTGGTATCTCTGAGTTCGTTGTTATGGCTGCTGATGCTGAGCCTCTTGAGATTCTTCTTCATCTTCCTCTTCTTGCCGAAGATAAGGTATTGCTTTTTTCCTTATCCTTCTTTTTTTTTTCTTATGGATCTCAATTAGTAGTTTCTTTGGCTTTGGAGATTTGTCAGATAGTTCAATTTTTTTGTGCAAGATTCTGAATATGTTAACTTGTTAGTATATCTTCGTCGCATGATGAAAAAGTAGAGATTTTTTGGGTTATTAGACTCTAATTTTGAGATTGTTTGTCATGATTTTCTGATTTAGCTATTACTTAATAAATTGATAGCTGTGTAGATCTTAGTTTTTGAGTGTAGGAGATTGATTCAATTCAAGGTTCTTAGTTATTAAGAAAGAAGCTCACTTTGTTCTGTAATAACATTGCTTATGTGTTTCGTTTAGTGAGTGGTTCTGTTCTGTATTAACATATATAGCTTATTTGTTTAGTTTAGTCAGTGACTCTGCTCTGTATTAACATTCCTTGTGTTTAGTTTAGTCAGTGGTTTTGTTCTGTATTAAACATAGCTTGTTTAGTTTAGTCAGTGATTGTGTTCTGTATTAGCATTGCTTGTGTTTAGTTTAGTCAGTGATTGTGTTCTATATTAACATAGCTTATGTGATTAGTTTATTCAGTGATTCTTGGTCTTGGGATGTGAAATATCAGGAATTTAGTTTCTTTGTATCAAACTCTGTTGATTCATGAGATATTTGGTTGACAAAGGAACCCAAGAATGCGATTCCCAATTCTTCTTGTTTTAGCATATACAAATCTTGCAACATCTGAGTTTTCTTTGTCATTGAATTGTTGCAGAATGTGCCGTATGTGTTTGTGCCATCAAAACAAGCCCTTGGAAGAGCATGTGGTGTAACAAGACCCGTTATTGCTTGTTCGGTCACATCCAACGAGGGTAGTCAGTTGAAATCTCAGATTCAGCAACTCAAGGATGCCATTGAGAAGCTCCTCATCTAAGATTTTTGGTGGGTTTCAAATGAATGATGAGTCTCTCCATTTATGGAGTATGGCTTTGACTGAAGTGGGTTGTGCAACCTTAGCTTATGAAAAACCAAAAAAAATGTGAACAATTCCTATCTGTTTTGAAGATTGCAGTGCTTTTATTTGATTTTGTGTTGGTGCACAATGCATCTTTGAACAACTATCAATTTTATTGAGTTTCTTAGATTTTTGGTTGCTGTTTTTTTTTTATTTTTTGTCATAAGTTATAACAAGCATTGAAGAATATATTATCAACGCTCATTGATTTTTCCCCTACTCATTTAGGTGTAATGATTTAATGAGGGAAAAATGTTAATTGTGAAGAAAATATATTATTTTTGTGCTAACAATCTTATTATAGAGTTGACCCAAAAAAAATGGAAAAGAATCTTATAATTGTTTCAGAATTGATGAATCAATATCTATTTTAAAAATATGGTAAAATATAATTAAAAAGTAAATTCAAATTTCCATAAAATACAGTTGAATTTAAGAATATAGCAATATTTAACATTTGTCTCATAAATTTAATACAATATTACAGAAACTACTTATGTAATTTATTATGGGGTTTATGAAATGTATATACTCAGATAACAACGAAGAAACCAATTTTTGGAGACAGATAAAACAAAAATTAGTTTTGTAGGATGCTGACATACGAAGTTACAGCTCTATCCCTAAAAAAAATTGTTTAAATCAAATAATAACTTCCTCTCTCTCTCTTATATTAGCCTGCACTCTACACCCACGCTATCTTCAAAATCTTCTGACGCCGCCGACGTTGGGAGGAGCAAGATTTGGAAAAAAAACAATGATGGTTTTTGATACGCTACTGTGGATGATACTCGTTCGCTTATTTATTACATCGATATCTGAGTTGCCTCAACAACATCGCTCTGAGACAAGTAACCCAGTTACACAACGCTCTCTTTTAATACCGGTGATCAACAAGTTACAGAGCGACTTTAAGGTTCAGGTAGAAATTAACGGCGGTTTTGTTTTTGTTATTCCTACGATGGTTGGCTATTCAATGCTTCTATACTTTATCTATTTTTGTCAACGTCTAGCGATAACTATATATTGAGTTCGATAAGAACTTACTTAATCATTTTTATTATCAGTAACAAGATGGCGCTTGTGGTACGGTTAGCTCGAGGCGAGTGGCGGATGAACGAGCACGGAGACTACGAACACGTTGCGGATTTGTAACCCGCCTAGCTGTGAGAATACGTGAGAGAGATGATTTCAAGACCGTAACGGAATCTGTTAAAGCACGACTGCAGCTTCGAGAAGAAGATAAGGTGGAACTGTCATTCCAGTGGCCGAAATGGATGATGGGGCCAGAATGGAAGAGGGCAGATCCAATATTGATCCAAGACGAAGACATGACTCTATTTCTGGCGATCCGGGCAGACCTGGAGGAGGTGTACCTAAGAGTGAAGGTCATACGGGAAGGAACGAGGGGTGAATCCCAGATGATGAACAAGCCACCCTCTACGTTCAACACAGCAGGCCGGACTTCGGCTGAAATATCAGATAGATACTGGAATAGCACGGATACACAAGCTGCGTGGACGAGCGTGATAACGAAAATGTTACTAGATAAGCAAGAGCGGCCTGTTAATGGGCGAAAAACAGGAAATACATATCGACGGGCCACAGGCCTATACGGCCCACTAAGACCGGCGGCTGGTGGAATAGTAATTTCTGATCACGGCCGGAACGATTCAGTTCCCTTATCATCTTCCCCAAAACAGATCGGAGATGCTGCGATAGAGCGAAACTCGGCGGTCGCAAGGCCTACAGACAAGGGGAAACAAAAGATGGGGATCAACGATATTGTCACAGATAAGGACTACGAGATATTCAAGAAACAGTACCAAGCGGAGATGTGGCGAGAGGTGTGTGCGACTCAAATCTCCTTGGGCAATGGTCAAACTGGTGCTGACGAATACGGCGTTAAAACGGCGAGGAAGTTGGATTTTGGTTTTTGCCAGCCAACAAATGCATCAAGCAGCAACAAAGACAACCAAGTACACGCTAGTGAGTTGGGTGAAGGGAGCGCGACCAACGTGGTCACGATTTCTTCAGAAGATTCAATGTTTCGAACACCGACCCCACTATCTGGAAGTATCTCATCCGATGAGCTGTATAACGACATAAATCCGGATTATGTTATTGGTATGTTAATAGAATTGTTAACCAGATAACATTCAGTTTATCGGGTTAAATATTTCTGGGAAATAAAGTCAGTCTACTTAATAAATCGGTCAACTGCACACATGAGGTGTAATTTCCCTTTATTATGATTAATGAATGTTATCAAGTAGCTTAGACCTAAAAATAAATTAAGAAAAATAATCCAAGCATCTCTATCAGAGGGTAAATCTGACTATTTACATGGAAGCCCGACTCTCTCATTTATTGGAACTATATAAAAGCTCACCTCTTTAGAACAGACCTCAAAAACAATCTTACGGATCTTTTAAGATTCTCTCTCAAATTCATTCGTACACAAATTCTGAAATCACAATCTCAAAATCCGAAAGGTAATAACGAACCCTAAAACTTACGAACACTGAATCGTTCGTTTCAGCTTTCGATTGCTTAGTTTTTTTTTTTCTGTGATCTTCGCAATTAGATTTGTCGAATTCGTGAAACCCTAATTTTGTTTCTCCTTACGGGATATATTCAGAAAGAAGAAGACGAGAGTAGCAATATGTCGAACTGTTTGCAATTGAAACCGGCTTGTATAGGATGCGGATCACAATCCGATTTGTATGGAAGCGCTTGTAGACACATGACCTTGTGTTTGAAGTGTGGTAAAACCATGGCGCAGAATAAAGCTAAGTGTCTTGATTGTGGAACCGTCCTCACACGTTTGATTCGGGTTAGGGCTTTCGCACTTACTGTTTTCTTGATGGTTTCTCAAGAAAGTTTTCGTTTTGTTGATTTTTTGTGTGTTTTGGTGATTGTTTTAGGAATACAATGTTCGTGCTGCGGCACCAACAGATAAGAACTACTTCATTGGTAGGTTTGTGACTGGTCTTCCTAATTTCAAGAAAGGCTCTGAGAATAAATGGTCTCTTCGTAAAGATATACCACAAGGTCGTCAGTTTACTGATGCACAAAGGGTAAGTTTTTGTTTTGGTTCTTTATTATTACCAATCGTTTTGGTTGTTTTTTGGTTGGCTTATTTAGTGTTTTGTGTGGATTCTGATGTTGTAGGAGAAGTTAAAGAACAGACCTTGGATATTGGAGGATGAAACTGGTCAGTTTCAGTACCAAGGACAACTTGAAGGCTCTCAATCTGCAACTTACTATCTCTTGGTGATGCAGAACAAGGAGTTTGTTGCGATTCCTGCTGGTTCTTGGTATGGAGAAACAATATTCAATAGCTTCCTTCTGTTGATGTGTTGTTTCTCTGTTAGTGTTTGGGGTCTAAAGGAAAATTATGTGGTATAGTTCAGATGAGATGTCTTTTTTTTTTTCGTTTCTTTATTTAGGGAAATGTCATTGGATGGATCAGTTGTGAAGTATTTGAGATTGTTATTTGTTTTTTTTACTTTTGTTGTTGTTTGATTGTGTTAGGTATAACTTCAACAAGGTTGCACAGTATAAACAACTTACATTGGAAGAAGCAGAAGAGAAGATGAAGAATCGTAGAAAAACTGCTGATGGGTATCAAAGGTGGATGATGAAAGCTGCAAATAATGGTCCAGCGTTATTTGGAGAAGTGGATAATGAAAAAGAGGCCGGTGGAAGCAGTGGAGGTGGTGGCAGGGGTCGTAAAAAGTCATCAGGCGGTGATGAGGAAGAAGGAAATGTCTCTGACAGAGGGGACGAAGATGAAGAGGAAGAGGCATCACGGAAAAGTAGACTTGGACTTAATAAGAAGAGTAATGATGATGATGAAGAAGGTCCAAGGGGTGGTGATCTTGACATGGATGATGATGACATTGAGAAGGGTGAGTAGTAATCTATATATGTTGAGGATTTTTCTTCATTATCTGTTTAACAAAACTGATGAATCCTTAATTTATTCAGGGGATGACTGGGAGCATGAGGAAATTTTTACTGATGATGATGAAGCAGTCGGAAATGATCCTGAGGAACGTGAAGACCTTCTGGCTCCTGAAATTCCTGCTCCTCCGGAAATAAAGCAGGTCTGTATCAACTATAATATTTCACTTGCAGTGTACAATTTTCTTTGAAACTGGATATAGTAATCTCTTTTGGTAATCCCATTTTTTGTATGTTATCCAAGTTTCAGTGGTCATATTAAATACTGGATTGTTGAGTCTTTTGCTTTCGATGAGGTCGTAACTTTCTTTTGACTTCCCTTCTAGGATGAAGATGATGAAGAAAATGAAGAAGAGGAGGGAGGATTGAGCAAATCTGGTAAAGAGTTAAAGAAACTGCTTGGTAAATCTAATGGTTTGGATGAATCTGACGAAGACGATGATGATGATTCAGATGATGTAAGCCCTCTTCAATTTTCGACATACTCTACTTCTAAACATATTGTTCCAATTTTCAAGCTCACTAACTGGTTTGGATACATGCAAATCATTCTGAATGTCCATTCTTAGGAGGAGGAGGAGACAAACTTCGCTCCAATTACGAATTCAAAACAGAAGGAGGCAGCAAAAGAAGAACCAGTCGATAATGCACCTGCAAAACCTGCCCCATCTGGACCATCTCGTGGAACACCTCCAGCAAAAACATCTAAGGGAAAGAGAAAATTAAACGAAAGCGACTCTAAAAAGCCTAGCAGCTCTGTTCAAAAGAAAGTGAAGACTGAAAATGTAAGATACTTGGTTGTGCTTATGCTATGTTTCAAATAATATCAATCTATGGATAAGGTGAAAGTATAAGAAGTAAGGAGGGCTTGTATTGTCATTGAATTTCTAACAAAGTGGCTTTTGTAATCACTTTAAGCAGGATCCGAAATCTTCGGTGAAGGAAGAGAGAACAAAAATGGTTTCCAAATCCAACACACCAACAAAAGCAGTGAAAGCTGAACCAGCTTCTGCTCCTGCATCATCCTCAGCTGCGACCGGGCCTGTGACTGAAGAAGAAATCCGGGCTGTCCTGATGGAGAAGAAGCAAGTCACTACACAGGATCTTGTTTCCAGGTTTAAGGCAAGACTCAAGACCAAAGAGGTAAAAATATCTTGATCTAATTTTCCTTGTTGAATGACCATATTGGTTTTGATCCTGAGCTTATTTCCGATTGTTGTGTCTTTTTTATATACAGGACAAGAATGCTTTTGCCGATATTCTGAGGAAGATCTCAAAGATTCAGAAGAACGCTGGTTCTCAAAACTTCGTCGTTTTGAGAGAAAAATGAGAATTTGGTATATTTTCATTAGACTTCAGAGCTAACTCTTTTCTTAATATTTCCAAAATCTCTCATATGACTTGGTTGGTACAAATAAGTATGTTTTGTCATTTCTTGACTCTAAATTGTTTAATTCGGATCGATTTTGGTTACCATGACATTAATAGTAAATGATGGGTTGGATATTTTCTTACAAGTTTACTAGGATAGGACCCGCGCTACAGCGCGGAGGAATATTCTTTCGAAATGTTATATAAATTATTATAAAAATAAAAATACACATAAACTATTGTTAATGGTTACATTTATAAAATATGCACATTTATAGTGTATGTTTTGATGGACTAATCTATAAAAGATTTCATTAATAAAAACAATATACATTAGACTCACATCAAATTTTGGACGGACTAACTTGTGAAAAATTACATTTGTAGAAGAATATACATTTGTAAAAACTAAAAACTCACAATATATTTTGAAGGGATTAGCCCGTGAAAGATTGCTTTCATAAAGCCAATATGCATTTGTAATACAAAACATCAATTCACAGTGTAAATTTTGAAGGACTAACCCGTAAAATATTGAATTAGGATCGGATCCGCGCTACAGCGCGGGAAAAAATTGCCATTATTTTTTTCGTTTTACTGTAAATGGTATTTTGAAAAAAATGGATTGTTAATGTTGTTGTTAGATGTTTTAGTGATTTTTTTGTTAAATGGTGCATGTAAAAAGTAGTTAGATATTGAGGAAGATTAACAAATATATTGTATTATATAGTACAATTTGACCATTTTTGTAATAGTTAAAGATTGAGGAAAGTTAACAAATATATTGTATTATATAGTTTTGGTTTAAAATTAAAGCTTAATCCCTTGAACATGACAATCATTATTGATCTGATTGTGACTTTGTGTTCCTTGAAATAAGTTGCAGAACATATTGCATATTTCGTATACTCACAAACAAATGACCTAAATATAAAAGTTCTTATAACATATTTTAAGCATTTTGATGGTATATAAGAGATTACTTTTTTTACTATGTAAGAGATTACTTTTTTGATGGTATAGAAAGCATTTTCATATTCGGTAATAATTTCATTTTAAATGATTTTATATATGAAGTTTAAATTTTTTTTATAGTTTGCGCTTTATATGACCAAAGATTAAAATTTGTTTAAGAAGACAAAAATATGTAAGTTATTTAAATATCAAAATGCCAACTTAGAACCAGTATGTTATCGAGTAGCTACAACATGTATGTTTTCGAATCTTGTGTACGTAACAATCTTTAACCTGTTACATTATGGAACAATATATTAAGTATCTTATATTCGCTACATTTTAATTTATTTAATACTAATTATGATGTAATATGTCTTTCTTATCATTAAGGTAATCGTAATATTTGATTGCACAATCTTAAAAATACATATTAGGAATAGTTGTAAAAGAATATGTAATATTTTTCATTTGATTGAGATTTTTTAAATTTTTTTAATAGGAAAGTATAAGATTGATGATAAGGTTTGCTTCTTAACAAATGTGTTATGCTTTATTATCACGTATTTATAAGGATTTTACAAATTGCAAAATTTATATTATAGTTACCTACAATTACGGAACGATACTCAACAGTTATAGAAACAATTTAATTTTAAACATTTATTGCCCATAATATCTTTATGGCCATATCCAATATACTCGGATTATCCATTCTTAAAATACCCAATTCATGATTTCGGATTTGTTTTTTTTTTTAATTTAACCCGACCCGATTCCTTAATGTACTTCTCTTTTACTAAGTTTTATAAATATAAATAAGCAATGATCAACGGTCAAAAAATAAATAATTGGAAAATTGGAGCTAATCAACAGTCAAAAAATAAATAATTGGAAAATTGTAATTTGGAAATAAAAGAATGATAAACCCAATCCAAGTATGAAATAAGAACGTTGTGACTCTTTTATAAATACCTCCTCTGTTTCATTAACGTTTGATACAAAAACAAAACAAAACAGTGTTTTCTCCTAATCCGTGATTCTCTCTGCTACTTTTCTCCAAACATCAGAACTCAATCACATCAGAGAGAAGAGGAAACGAGTTCTTGTTGAGCAAAGCAAACGCTAAAACTTTTCTTCTCACTTTTTGATTTTAGTCGAGTCAACCTAACCGTCAAAGCACGCAAGAACGCAAGATCGAACATAGTCTTGGTGAGCAAGCAAACGCTAAACCAGTAGATGCAGATAAAGAGAAAGAGAGAGGCCGACCCGAGGAACCAAACCTAACCGAACCTCACGTTCAACCTAACCGTCAAGAACGCAAGATGGAACTCAGTCTTGGTGACCAAGCAAACGCTAAACCAATAGAGGCAGAGACAGAGAGAGAAAGAGGCCGATCTGAGGAACCAAACCTAACCGAACCTCAAATCCAACCTTACCGTCAAGAACTCAAGATGGAACCTGTGACAGAAGACGAAATCCGCAATGTTCTGATGGAGAATAAGCAAATAACTACAGTGGAACTCGTTATGAGGTTTAAGGACAGACTTGGAACCAAAGAGCACAAGGATGCATTTGCCGATATTCTCAAGAAGATCGCAATGCTACAAAAAGACGCAGCTTCTCAAAAGTACTTTGTTGTTTTGAGAGATGACGAGTCTTCTTCTACTTTGCTTTCTTCAGAACTCACTCGTTTGTCTATTTCTTGATGATCTCTTGTGAGTTGGTAACAGAGAGAATCTTGTTTTTCGTTTCTTGACTTATTTTGAACATGATTTCACTGAGCAATGTTATATAAACTCTACTTTCACCACTTTGTTCTCTTTCATTAGGGTTTTTGGCTTCTTGCCACAAACCAAAGATATGTTAAAGGTTTCTTCTTATTTATATGCATACACAATTTGACCTAGCTTGTCTATTGTATAAAACAGAAGCCTGCGTGCACATATAAAAACCAGCAACAACCTTAGTATAAACATATTGCCTTCTTTAAAAGAAAAAAAAAATGAATTAGGTTATTAGTTTCTTTAATCTTTTGAGTACAAGTTCATTATTATTAATTTAACTAGTTATTTTTATTTTTTTTTACAAAGTACGAAACTCTTACCTTTTTCTGAATTTATTAAAAAATTTATCGTTTACAAACGAATATGCTTTAATATAATAAATTTTTATGTTGAATATGTCAAAAATTAGTATAGTTTTACACATGTATTCAATAACTATAACGTAAACATATATACATACAATATGAAATATTGAAATCAAATGTATTAGTTTTTTTTTTCCTAGAGTACATTTAATACTGAATCCAATGATATTTATGAAAGAAACTAGTATCTTAAAAAAAAAAAAAAAAAAGACACAAGCTAAATTACAAGTACTTACACAGTTACACACTTACACTATGCCACAACTTATTCTCATTATATATCTCCTTTACATGTAATTGCTTTTACAAAATCGACCATTACATAGATCTTTACAAAATAAGAGACATTCGAAACATATTTTGATATACATATCTTTGTGTTCTTCTAACTCATGGCAGGAAGAAGGATTAATATTCCAGATCAACCCTATGATGCACAGAACCCATTTAACATCGTGATAACTTTGTCACCATTTGATGTAGATTTGAGTAATACGATAATGATGCCGAAACCGTTACTAGCTAGAAGCTAACTTATTTCGTTTCATGGAGATGAGTACTTACGTCGGACTGTTACAAGTCCCCGACAAGCCAAGGATGATTGAACTTTTTGATATTGATACTAAAATTACAACATTTCTTACCATAAAAGAAGAAGGACAACATTTCAAATTCGATGGGTGGTGCAATATTCTCAACCGAAAAAATTACAGGGCAGGCGATAGAATTGTATTTTGGTGGGATTTACGCAACAGTAGACTTATTTCAAACAAGTTGATTAGTTGATTATAAGAACTTCATTTCCCAAATAATTTATGTATACCGGATTTTATGGTCTTTGATCGAGTCCGGTTAGGTGTGGTTTTATTGAAGTTGGTTTAGTTCTTGCTTCTAAAATAAATATATGTATGGCTTTGTAAGATAGTATAATAAATAATTAATAAAAGAGTTCAAGAAAAAGTATATGTATGGCTTTAATTTGCCGTAAGATAATATATTAAATAACTAGGATCGGATTCGCGCTAGAATATTCTCTAATATATCAATAAAATTTATAATAGAATTAGAAATTGAATATATGAAAATTTTAAATGATTGTACTTGTAAAATATACACACTAATATTATATGTCGTGACGGACCAACTCGTAAAAGTGTATATGAAAAAATATTAATCATTACCCCTTCTACTATATAATTGTGAGTTAACGAACTAACCCGTGTATTATTAAAAGTATCATTGGTATATTAAATGCATAATATTTTCATTTAAGTATCCATCATGAATATAAATGTATATAAAACTATAAATAATATGATAATAAAAATACAGAAACTAAATTAGTAAAAAAGTTTGAAATTTTAAACGGATCTTTCTTATTGTTGAGTGTTGATTTATTGACACATCAAACCGATCTTCCGTCCAATATTGTTGATAAACTCTGAATAATTCATTTTTTAGAAGTTGGTTTTTAAAACAAAAATATAAGAGTTTGATAAAATTGGTATTTTTTTAATGTTCCTGTAAAATAAGAAAAACAATAATATAAATGACATTAGATTAAAAAAATTATTGTAAACACATTGTTTTTGTTAAAATCACTTATAGATGATATTTAATTAGATTTCTAAAAATTATTCAAATAACTAACAATACGGTATTTTTTTATTATTAGTATATTTTCTAAGATTAAGATCTATTTATATAAATGCTATTTCTAAATTTAAATTCGTCATTATTATTTCCAAAAATATAGTTTTTGACTAACAATGACAATATAGAATATACATGTAACGATAGAATTATTGATATTATTAAAACTAATAAAATCGTACAGTTTTATAATATGGTAACAATAACTTTATAATCGCGAAAGAATAACAATATTTACAGGGATTGTTAACATATTAGTATATTCTGTATTGATTGAGAGGTTAGTCAATCATTTGTAAAAATCATTTAATATGTATATGTAATATTGTTTACCTTAAGTAGATTTGTTAACAATTAATGAGTATCCAAAATTAGCGGGACTGTAATATTGCATTGAAGAGACAATTTCGAAACCTATCTCTAATGTGATATACACATAGCAAAAGTCCGTTTTTAAATGGGTAATATCCATACATTAAATGAAACCCGTTTTCTAAGGATTCATTAAATCTAATCGGGTCAGATTTTTTAAAATTTTGTGAAATAACCCGATCCAAGTATTTTTTGTACTTCTCTTTATTTACAATACATGATATAATATTTTAGCAAAAAATTGTTTTTATTTAGTAACAAATCTAAAGAGTAAATACATTCGTAAGTCATATATATTTACTAGTATAGTACCCGTCCGATGGACGGGTTATCTTTATTTAAAATTAAATTAAAATAAAAATTAATTATAACTTATAAAAAAATAATTTCTAAATTTTTTTTAAAAATAAGAGAAATTAATTTTAATTCGGAAAGAGGTTTTATTTGGTTTGAACTATCAAATAAACGTGTACATATATATATATCTCTCTTAAAATTCGTTATTAAACGTTAATTATAAAAATCTAGTAATGTCAAACTAACAATCACCAAAACATTTGGGAGCTATTTGAGAGCTATTCACCATTACTCATAATATTGCTAAAATATTTTATAAAATCTTAATTTAGCAATTATCCTCTAAAACATGATTATACCATTTTGTAAAAATTGTTATTTCTTAACTTTCAATTTTTCAAAATATCATTCTCAGACTATGAAAATTAATTAATTATTATTCAATATGATGGTAAAGTTCTTTCAAATTAGCATCAATCTAAAATATGATGTTAAATATAAATATAGTCATTTGTAAATAAATTCATACAAACAACGCAAATAAATATAAAGATTCTAAAATAAATTATAGCATTATTGAGG